TGCCACTCTTTTACAAAAATGTTCAGCGTTTAAACCCATATTTGATGTAGTTAAAAATTATGTTTTTAGTAAATTTTGACAAAAGTTAATAATATATATGATCGAAAAGTTGCGAATTTCATGAAATGTGTGGTTAAAATTAATTGTTGAATTTGATTTAAATTTAAACCTATAATTCACATCCAAGTCTCATAATCATCAAAAACATATAAGTTCCTTTAAAATCAAAGATCAAAATTAATACATTGGCAACATATTTTAAACAACAATTTTGCAACATGTACATTCTAGTTTATATCTTTGCTTATCGAAGTTACACTTTGACACAATCTTACATTATCTTTTACATTTCACATATTTACACCATGTTTGATCTACGTTCTTATAAAAATTCATTTTAAACTCCACATTTTTCAATAAAATAATATTACACGTTAATTCAAAAAATTTCTTTATTTTTGAACCACATATTTTTTATCAAATTACTTTTTAAAATGCATTTTTCATTCAATAACGTTCATCAAATAGGATTTTAATTCAATTATTATAACATTTTTATGCCATCAATCTATCAAGGGGAGTCAAAAGGTTGTACTAAGAGTATTGCTTTTATATAAAACCTAATCATCTGTTGGATATACAAGAAACAAAAATGGATTGTGCTGATAACAATGACAACCCTGCAGAGCATTAAGTGCCCATTGGACAGAGACATCATTACAATGCACTCAGTAGTCAGAGATTGCAAGCTATTTTGCAAAGAGTGAGAGCAGCTGGACACACTGTGTAGATGAAATTATAGATTTGGCATTCATTTTACAAGAAATGCACTCATATTTTCTTGATTTGATGGACCGCCCTTTCACTAGCATAAAGATACTCTCGTGGGTCCTTCAGATTTGACTACATGATTAATTTCCATTGCCAACCAATCTTCAAAAAATTTTAATGAATAAATTAAAATAAATAATTACAATTCTTCTTTAGCCCCTTGTGCACATTTTTGAAAAAAAAATATATATATATTTTTATTGTTGATATGATGGTAAATATGTGATTGAAAAAGAAATAAAAATTATTGATGTGATGAGAAATATTATTTTATATAAGAATCTGTGGTTGAAAATGAGAATTGATTTACTGTANGTAGACCATGTTTGGATTTAATATGGATTGGTTAGATGAAACTAAAAGAAGCAATCAATAATTGTAGTTTCTCTATCATGATAAAAGAGAGTTATTTGTTTCTTCAAGACTAGTAGTTAGCTTAGACAAGATAACCCAGTATCCCTTTCTTTAGTCATCATACTTTCTCAAAGTTTTTCAGGAGGTTTGAATTTTCTATTCAATAGACATCCTGTCGTAATGCGGGAGCAAAATTATCTAGAAATTAAAAAAATTAATTCAATAAATAAGATCGTCTAGACGTTCACATGTATGTTAGAGATTCGAATTTTTACCAAAATTCGATGATCAATTCTTGAACTGGATCTGAATCACAAACTTCCAACTTCTTGAATACGAGCTTCTAGCATTTCAATTCCAAGAAGTCGATGCTCCAAACCTCCATATCTTCTATGATATTTTTCAAAGTCAAGACTACACCGGTAGGTGGACACCTTCTTTTAATTAAGAAAATAATTATTTTCTCTCTCCAAATTTGAACACTATCGAATTATTGTATTATGATTGCTCTAAAATTTATATGTCCATCTAGTCTCTATTTATATAGATACAGATGTTCTAATCTATATACAATAATAATTCAAATTTCAAATAGGAGTCCTAATTAAAATTCACATCCAATTAATTTACATTTAATTTCATGTGTAGTCATTTACGGTTATAATTAAGTCTACAATTTTCATAATAATTACAATTAAGTACAAAAATTTAGCTCTTGTTTGACACGCATTTTATCAAAATACATTATTTCGAAACTCATTTTCAACCATACATTCTTCAATAAAATAATATTTTTTATCACATCAATAATTTTTTCTTACTTTTTAACCACATATTTCTCATCATATTACTATTTAAAATACATTCTTTTCTCAATAATATCTATCAAACACACCCTTACCTAGTATTATATTAAACCCATGTTTGAGCCACATTTTATTTTCATTCCCATTCGTCAACTCATTTTTTCAATAAAATAATATTTTCCATCACATCAATAACTTTTTCTTCTTTTTAACCATATATTCACTATCACATCACATCACAAAAAAATACATTATATCCTTAAAAATATGCATCAAACACACTCTAATGGTGTGAGTGTGTTTGATGGATATTATTGAGAAAAAAATATTTTAAATGGTGATATAATGATGAATATGTGGTTGAAAAGTAATGAAAAATTATTAATATGATGAAAAATATTATTATATTAAAAAATGTGTGATTAAAAATAAGTTTTGAAAGAATGTTCGTAAAACCGAAGCTAAACCTATCTAAGGCAACCTCAAAATTTGAGACGGTAACTAGCCCGGCTAAGAGAACATGATGAAAATTTTTTGTGCCCTTGGTACATTAATTACTACTTCATATTGCATTGAATCATAAAGTTAAACCGTGAAATGTATCTTTTCATTTACTCTTTTTACTGTGCTTAAAAATACTTATAAGCTCAGCGAAACGTGTTGCAAGTTCTTTTCCTTAATTAGTGTTGAAAACAAGTAACCTTCAGAATTTTTAATTAACTCCTACTCGAAATCAAGTAATTTTTTCCCTTGTAATGAAGGGAAAATAAAAACTTTTATAAGTAAAATTGATTTTATTTCTAATGTTGGCCATATATGTTGTAACATAGAGAATGCAAAAATTACACAAAACCAATAAAAGTTTCTTTCAAGGGCCATGCTTGAAGTACATGGCAATTTTTTATAGGCCATTGCCAGGCACGACACAGATGTGGGGTCCACGCTAATTCCTTTTTAAATACATGTGGGGACCACAACACGTGTGTGGCCTATAAGCCCCTATGAAAAATTACCCCTGTACACAAGGCATTATTCTTCTTTCAATTAGGCCTGAGCAAAAAAATCGACCAAATCGATTGAACCGAACAAACCCCGTCGGTTCGGATCGGTTTGGCATGGTTAATTGGTTTGATTTTATTTTAAACTAAATCATGGAGGGCCGATTCGACCATGATTTAAAGCTTCAAACCGCTGGTTAACCAACCAACCCACTTAGACACGTTTCTATTTTTTTTTTGAAAAAAGAAAAAGTCAAAATCAAAAGCTTAATGATGTTCTCCCGAAAGTAGAGGTGGCTCGAGCACCTCTTTGAGTAGTTTTATTGAATACTACATAAAAACTTTATTTTATGAGGACACTTTCAATAAACATTGATATTATTTTTTGTCATTTATAAACGTTGTCTTCTGCTTCGGTCGGTAGGCCTTGTTTTTAGTTAATTTTTTCTATATAACATGTTTTACTTATAATAAGTTCGTCTTCTGAAAATGCAGGTTGAGATAATGATTTTCGTTCTTTGAAAATTGAAATTCCAAAACTGTCTTTAGTTGCTATAGGTTGTAACTTGAATAAAAAAGTTGTATAAATCAAAAATAAATTTGGACAAAAACTCGAGACAAATTTTTTTTTTTTTTTTAATTCAATTTGAACAAAACCTCAAACCAACTAATCGAACCGAACATTTGGTTTGCTTTGATTTAAGAGTTGGGTTGGTCTGGATTGAAATTTATCCAAATCAACTAATTTGGTTTCAGTTTCGGGTTGGGATCGAAATCGACCCAAACCAAATCACGTTCAGACCTACTTTTAATAGTATTGGTACGAACTGAATGCAACAATCACAGTTCAATATGTCACAAATATATTTTTATATCAATAAATGAGTTCTTCTTAATAAATTTAGAATAGAGTATTTAAATTTTTTTTCTATTAACAGCTAGAGTGGACGTACCTCTTCTAACTTGGGTACATTGATTTCAACATGCAAAATAGTGGGTATAATTTAATTATCAATTGACCCTCGGAGATCACACACAAAAATATATAAATATATACACAGGAAGAATAATCAAAGCAGCCAAAAATGATTCTTATTGGAAGGAGGAGGCATGATGAAGGAAGCTTCGACGTTAATATCACCAGTTTTTTAAATATATGATATATTAATTATTGTCATTAAAGTGCATTAAAATAGCTGCTACATTTTCATTGACAAGTTTTCAAATCCCAACGTCTATCTTTCCCCACCAACAGAAGTACAGCTACAGACTCGTAAATATCGATGTTGACCAAAGCACATTTACCTTTCTGGACATAAGCATTCCTTAAATTGCCATACCAACTTATAAGTAATAAGTAAATGTGTAAGTTGCTGTACAAGTTGATTTTAACTTTCATGATATGAAGATAGGTAAAATTCTTTCAATTTCAAGCACAAAATTTCTAAGCTGTCTTTTAAGGAACTTACTAAAATAGCAATGTCTCTTCACAAAGAGGGTTGCGAAATATCCTCGTAACTTTTGGAGGGATGGTGTCTCCTCAAGAAGAGGGTTGTAGTGACCAGACTCGGGCCAAGAAACGTTGGTACTTGTAGAGTCGTACAATCGTGCAATTCTTATTTGGTGCTCAAGATTTCATTCTCATCTATTATGCTAGTCCAAATCGACAAAGATAGCGAAAAAAGCCAAGCATAAAGAAGTACAAATCTTGAACCAAAACGGGCAAAAGAAAAGTTGCATTCGATAATAACTGCTAAAAGATCACAATTTTCACAGAATTTTTGACTCCCTTAGTAGCATTTACATTTCTTCATGAAACTAACACAATGAAATTAAAAATGCTGTGAAAATTAAAGCTTTTTTTTTTAGCCCTACCTATTTCTAATCGAAACAGAAACAGAAACCTCTTGTGTAATTTCTGGGTTCTGTTTTTCATACTAATAATATTCAGACACAAAATGACAAGACGTTAATCATAATAAATTGGACATGCATTGCACGTGCATATCACCTAAAAGTCACGAGACATCCCCATTCCATGCAACCTGGGGGAAGCAGACCTCACTGAATAAACCCCATTCCAGATCTCTGTAAAAGCTCTAACAATGGTTCCATGATAATATGGTTCATTCAGCTGCAAGAAACAGTTAAGAAGTTCTTTAAGATCATTCTTTGAGTAAATCTGTTTTTCCAGTATCATTTGCAGCATTGATTGCCGGAAATCAAGATAAGGGTCGTCTGAGTCCTTCTCCACTGCCACACTTTGGCCGCCAATTTTTCCAAAGCCCTGAACAGCCCTCAAGCTCTTGATATCTGACTCGGTGTCGGAGGAGTAGGTGGCTGGTGGCATGTCGGAAAATGTGGTGGCGGCGGTGGCAGTGGTGGTGGTGTTCCATGAACTTGAAGAAGAGTATTGGTGGTGGTGTTGGTGGTGGTAAGAGGGTAATTTACATCTTGGCTTTGGGTGAAAAATGGAGGAGAGTTTTGGCCTTCCACAACTGCTGCTGCAACCTAAGTTCACTGTGACTGTGTTGAGAATGTACTTTTTCTTGCTGGTTGGCATCTTTCAGAGAAAAAATGGGTTTTCTCTGTGTTTTTCAGTGTGCGTATGGAGGGTGGGGTTGCCTCAGGAAGTGCTGCGCATTGGAATTGAAACTATGGGGCTGCCCTCTCTCTCATATAAATTCTGCATGTGAGGTTGGGCTCTTGGAGTCACTTTTGGTGCTAATCTGACAGGTAATAATTGAGAGAGCTTAATTTAGTGCACAAGATTAGGAAAACAAAAATGAGACGTATATATGTGGAACTTTTCAATTGGGCTGTGATGAACAAGGGGGACAGGCTTGTTACCTTAAAGCGTTGACAGACACAACGCTTATTTGTAATGACATGTCATCAGGAGTGTTAAATGAGTCGAGCCCCTCGGTTCGCGCATCAGAAGACTCGACTAGACTTACCACACAACCTGACTCGTCCAAAAACTTGCTCCTTAGTGGGGGCCATTTTTTATATTTAAATTATATTTTTACTCCATTGACAGATGAGCCAAGTAACTAATAGCTCGCACGAGAAATTTGCTACTCCGCTTGCTAGTGGGACGAGTCGAGCCATCGAACAACTCGCCCCACTTAACGACCCTACGTCCCTACATATTATGTATTTAGCCAGATAAAAGAATTATAGGAACTGATGTGTAAGTTTATAAGGCTACACACGCACATATGCATATATAGGAAGCTGACTGGAAGATAAGTATGATGTTTTGGGTTCTACCACCTAAAAAAAGACACTTGATTCATCACCAACGGTTTAGTTATGCTCAAATGTATAGATACATTACATTGAAAAGTATTATTGGCATGTACTTTACCTTAAACTCAACACGAGAAACACAAGTTTATCACCTATATCGTTCCATTTATTTTGTTCAATTTAACTTATCAAACATGTAAAAAACACATTTTTGTGTAAGAGTAAAAAACCGCATTTTCCATCAACAACAAAAATTTGGAGATCCCAAGTTGATATACTCAGATACCAACTAGATCAGATGTCCTAAAAGAGAGAGATTCCAGCTTGGAACACGTGAAAGAATCCTCCACATCAGGAACATACTTTTTTACATTGTCTTCCTCCTCTTCCCAAGTAGAATAGAAGTATGCCTTTTTGTGTCTCCCCTTTCCCTCCAATAACCGAATATGGTCCAAGTTTCTCAACATTGAATCATATAGCGTAATAACCTCAGTGATTCCCTTTTGATTTCTCATGTACCATATTTCTGTGCGCAAATTAAGATTTCTCAGGAAATAAAATAATAATAAAATCATCTTATTGGTAAAACTAGGAAACCCGAATCAGTTTCGATGAACATTTTACTTTCACAAATGAATGAAACAACGACTAAACTTTTCGTCTTTATGGTAATGACATATTCTGAGAATAATGAATATTGCTTAAACATTTTATGGAACTTGAATTACTCATATTGTAATAATCAAACATCATGGAGGATAACAAGAGAGTCAGGTTGGGAAAAAGAACTGCAGATAACTTAAATCCTAACTACACTAAGGTCATGTTATGCAGTACAAGACATGCTAGACAATACAATTGATAAAATTTGAGCTTTTTTTTCCCCTTGTTTAACACAGTCTGATGTTGTCTAGTTTGCATTACCAAACATGCCATAAAGTGATACACGGTCCTTTGGAAGATAATTGCTAACCAGTTCTCATAATCCTCCCAGTATTGCTTAGTGCATATGTGCTTGGGCTATTTCTGGAGCCTTCACAAATTTGAATTTGATATACAATTCTCGATCAAGCTCGCCACATGCTGAGCAACCCAAAATGATCCAGCATCTGAGCAAGAAAAAGCATGAGTATTACCCTCACGTTCAACTGCTACACGAGCATCAGGGATCTGCTTGCGAATCTGTGAGCACGACATAGAACAATGATGAGATCAGAGCATGTAGTGAATACAGTAAGGGCATATTTGGTAGGCACTACTCAAAAGAACTGGACAATATAATTAAAAGATTTCTTGCTTCTTCTTCTAATTCTTTTTTTTTTTTTTTTTTTTCCTGACGGTAACAATGATCAGTATTGTCTAGTCCACAGTACTAAAAATGCTATAAGAGAAGAGGGGGTGGGCGGGGGGGGGGGGGGGNGGGGGGGGGGGGGTGGAGTGGAAAAGAGGCTCAATACTATAGAAACTAAACACCAAATAGGTTCAAAAACAGGGATAATGTTTCAGCATACTTCTGTAATTTAGAAATGGAAAGGGAAATGTTCATGGTGACAATATTGGCTGTACAGAATGTATTTTATAAAACTGTTCATCCTTCCATTCCATCTATATGTGATTAGCAACATGAATTTCTTCAGCAATTTAATGCCACGTCATTAGCACCTTTGTTTCGACCAGTGTTTAAGCACTCTATCGTTATCCTCAGCGTTGAAAAAATTCAATATTCATTTCCTCAAGTATCATCTTGGATATAAATTTTCCGAAACTCATTAAGAAATACACAACAGCAATATCCAGACAGATTTGGATAATATACTTAATTATTGCTCATTTCAGAAAGTATAGGCTGATAAGATAGAATTACTGAGGAACCAAACTTAAAGGTAGATATTTCTTCAGGACAACCATCTTGATGTCTAACTAGTTGCATTTGTCCAATAAACCAAAGTTTGAGAGGAAAATAAATCCCAGGCAGAATAGCCGTAGAGGTAGCAGTAGTTTTCTTCTGATGAAAATAAATGTTGCATGTTTGTTCCAAGAGGGGCAAGATGTTGTAAAAGTAGCCTGATATTTCCTTGAGATGGAGGGAGTACGAGAAATGGTAAAGACTGCTTTTAATGGGAAACAAAACATCCTTCCCTCTTTTTGACAAGAGGACAAGGTTGTATTATACCCTAAGCAGTTGAAGGAGTACTCCTATGTGCAGAAACTCAGATCTGCATAGCTTGTATTACCATGAAACAGATAACAGTAAAATTGCTAGGCTACCTATATCAAGATTATAAGTAGATCCGTCCAAGAGAGAGAGAGAGAGAGAAATATTTCAACTCAGTTAAAATTTTAATTGTAGAAGTACATATTTTCGCCTTTGTTTACAATTTCCTCGTGTAGGAAAATCAAAGTAATGCTTAATACGATTGAAGCTGCCACTGTCATCATACAAAATGATAGACAGAAAGTTGAAAGCGTATAAGTCCCTATTTTTCAGAATAAGAACATGATATAGATAACAAAATAACATATAATTACCTCTTCATATAAATGCAATGGACCCCAGTGATCATCATCACCAAACAAAAATGCTATCTGGCTTTTCTTCTCTCTCATGAAAGCCCAATCCGGTTTTTCTGAAAGCTATACAAAAGGACAGTGGTTAAGAAAAGGCTAGAAATGTCTTAAAGAGATAAAAATAATCACATTCAATAAAGCATGCGAATTTAGTTTAATCCTGTTCAGCTAAACATGCAGCTTTTACCCCGTAAACCTATCAACAAGTATTTTGATTGTTCTGGGAGTAGAAGCTTTGACTTAAACTTGGTTGCATGAGAATGTTAACTAAGGAAACACGGCCAGTACCCTGATTTCTTGTTGTGCTTCCATAGACCAACATCATGCAGATCACAAGACCAGTCAATTACAAAACATATCAAGAATAACAGGAAAGGAAACGAAATTGTTGTCAAAAAGGAAGCAAAACCCATTATATCCAAATATCAATAAAACTCTAAATTATTATTTTTCACATTGAATCTTGAATCTAGGACTAAAGTGTGTCAACCACAGATTACTCCAATTAATAAAATCAGTCTGCTTGATTAAAATTGTCTAAAAGTTTTTACAGGTTCTAAATGACCTTTGAACTATTAAGTTAGCACTGCTAAGCATGTTCACCTCATTTAGTGTCTCTTTCTACAGATGAAAGAACAGAAACAATTGGATGTGTTAAACTTTAAGAAACCCAAGATGAAGACATTATTGAGAAACTAGAAGAATGAATATACTACTTCTACCGGAAGCTTTATACAATTCCAAATTCAGGATTCATGATTAACTAAGCAGAATTACCATACTCTAACATAACAGATAATAAAAGTATCAAATTTGACATCTTGTTCTAGTAGATACAGTAGCTAGCACACACCATATAACAATCAGATGCATGGGCTAGACATTACAATTTGAACAAATTTCCCAACTTTGAAGTTGGGAGATTTACAACTTTGGAGTTCAAAATCAAACAAGAAATAGTTTACCTTCTCGAATTCAGTCATTGCCATAAAGAGCGTATTCCGGATTGTGTGATACTGAAAATGAGCAAGTTGACAGAGTCAACGAAAGAATAATCTTAATCACACGTTAAGCACATAATATGATAAGATTTCATATTTGAATAATAAGAAAACAACCTCCAAGAAAAGAGTCAAACAACTTGTCATTAACAAATACACAAAATGATACGAGTTCAAATAGGATACAGGTCTTCCTAATTCCTAAATAAGCGTGTGATGTATATACTGGTGAAGTGCTTGATAAAAGCAAGCAAAACTAGGAAAATAAATCAGGCATCCATTAAACCTGTCTGAAGTACCACCCCCTATTGCGAGTAGTACTTACAATGGAGACCGAGGATATACGACTTTATGCGCACCATAAATCAATGTAAGAAGCAAAAATACAATGAAACTAAAAAGGATGTAGAGCTGAGCTCTTTAAGTAGCATGAGCCACTGTTGGATGACCGAAGAAAGCAATTTGTTCCCATTGGTCATTTGAGTTAATATTTCCAATGTGTTCCACAACTCAAATGATATGGCCACCTTTCATCTTTTCCTTTAGTCTTATGAGCATAGAGTAAACTCAAATAAATCAAAAATAATTTTATAAACATCATAATTAAAAAATTAAATATGAAATATAAAAACCACTAATCAGCAAAAGCAGCATACCTGAAGTACACTAGTACAAAAAGATACAACTGCAGGAGAAGACCATGATTTCCCTATAGATTTTTTCACAACAAACCCTGAAATCT